GGAAGAACTTGTTTTGGTTGAACATCTGCTCGTGGGGACTGAAAATAGCTCAGTAGACCGGCCTTATTGCTGGATCCAGATCATCAAAACTGTCAATTTTTAGCACGTAGGTGGCAGTTCTAAGGTTGCTGTTTCCTGTATTGCAAGTCTTTTAAAATGATAACATGCAACTGGTGATGTTTTTGCATCTTTCAGTTGATTACTTTGGTTTTTGGCATATTTCTGTGCAGCTGTTTTTACCAGAAACCTGTGATAAACCCAAGCTCATAACGGAGCAAGTAGCAATTAAACAGCACAGTATTTTTCTTAGTTAACACTGGACCGACATTTAGCTGGTGGCCACAAACAAGACTCCAAATGAAGGCTTCAAAAACTGATGATGTGCCAGCGTTGTGTTTACAGCTTGGTCCACAGCCCTCGATCCAAGCAGGTCAACAGTTCTGGTCATTTCCCCTCCAGCGCTCTAATTTCTGGGGTTCTTACTCTAAATCTCATTCATGCCAATTGAACTGTAGTACCAGCACAATGCTGTAAATCCACTTCAGAAGCAGCTCACGTCTTCCTTTTTTTGTCATAAATTCATTAAACAAATCTAATTTTGAGAATGCAGTGGCAGTAATATTCAGCTCTTCACGCAAGGCTATTCAAAGCTTTGTCAGCTCTGCCATCACAGCTGTGTCACTGTCCATGTTGCCAGCGGCGAACAAACAATCATATTACTCTGTCAAAAGCTATTAGATGCTGTTTCTGAATGACGTGCTGCTTTGCAAAGTCAAAACACTCCCTCCGCCTTCCCACCAGCGATAGAAATGTCGGGAAATATGACTCGGTGATTGAGGATCAACTCCATCAATCACGGCACAAACTTCACGCCTCCGGCTCTGATTCTGGAAACAGAAAGTGTCACGCGTTGATTTTTATTCGTGGTTTGTTTCCAACAGTTCACTCAGCCGTGTAGTTTTAAGAAAACATTTATTCACATTGATATCAATACATTTCTGAGTGCATTTTTTACATACTGTACTTGTGCATGTAGATAAATCAGTGTGTGAACTTCTCTTTGCCTCACAAACATGCTCATAGTGGTAAAATTCGTACGTTTGTGTATGTGTGTTTATGTACTGGGGGCATAAAAGAAACATCATCATTTCTGCATTTAATTTTTTGTACAATTTCCCTTTCGCTTAAGTGAGACAGAACCCAAACAAACAGGAAAGAAAGAAAGAAAAAACCCCAAATTGCAGGATCAGGTCTCAGCAGCAGACGGATACATTTGACATTAGAGCTTATGAACATAAAGCATTCTCACGCTAACATTTAGTATCTCACATTCTATGAATCTAGGCTACAACTCTATCTCACGTTCCTGAGGAGTCTGTTCCTCCTCCTCTCCATAATTTATACCCCTCTTCCTGTTAAATCCTGTGCTTTTGTCCATGTCATCTTTTGCATGTCCTCTTTGTCTCTTTCTCTTGTTTTTTTTTTTTTCTTTTTTCTTGTTTCTCCTCTTTATTCCTGGATGTTGAGGATCTGTGCAGACAGTCCGTGGTGCCAGTTCTTCAGCTTGGCAAAGCGAGGCCCTTTGACCTCCGACTCAAACTTCTCTCTGATGGTGAGGACGGCAGGAGAAAATAAACATCAGGAGTTTCATGACAACATCAAATTAATACGTTGAAACGGAGCTGCATGAGAAGACTGATATCACTCTTATGTATGTAATTTAAATGAGAAGCTGCTGGTTAGCCTAGCTTAGCATAAAGACTGAAAACAAGGGGAAACAGCTCGCCTTGACTCAAGCACAGCTCACCAACTTCTAATTCTCACCAGTCACCACATCATGTCTTATTTGTTAAATCTGTACCAAAAAAACTACACCGTGTCAACACCTTCACGTCTAAATTGTTTTCTGCAGTGAACCACTGGGTTGCTCCCTCTGGGTTGGGGGTGAGTTGCTGCCTCAAGCAAAGCAGTGAAGTATCTCGAGATCTTGTTCAAGAGTGACGAGAGAAGGGTGCATGAGACGGACACGTATTGTTCTGGACCACTGTGGTGAAGAGGGAGTTGAGGCGGAAGGCAAAGCTCTCGATTTACCAGTCGGTCTTCATTTCAACCCTCACCTCAAGGAAATGAGATCGAGATACAAGCTCCCAAAAACATTTTCCTCCGTAGGGTGATGGGGCTTAGCTTTAAGGCCGATTCATGGTTTCCACTACAAAAGGGTACACCTAAATGTTATCATCCAAGTCTGATAACTGTCCACATTACTGACATACTGACATGTGCCAGCAGAACAAGTAGCGCTCCAAACACATGTCTATGTTCTTCATATATAACTCATCATTAACAGAGTTTTGATTGAAGCTTTTTCTGTACATTCCTTTCCAGTGATGGAGCCTGAACACAGTGGGAAGTACTGCCAGAACTCCTAAACTATGTTCACAAGCTGTGCCCGTCAGGAATAATCACTGACATGGTGCCAC